CCCCAAAACCCCAAAACCCCAAAACCCCGCATTCCCTAATATTAATATGCTAGTTAAGAATTATAAATAATTAATATGTTAAACTCCTTACTGCTTATGAGTTACATATATCTTAGACCTTAGAGTTAAATCTTAACTCGTTATACTGCCCATTCATCTTAATCAAGGAGATAATGGCAAAATATTGACTGACCCTCATTTGTGATTCGATTGAGTAGATAAACCTAATTTACTACTAATCTCACTGCTGATCTTTCTGAGCTCCTCTACCTCTCTCTCAAGTCTCTCTCTTTCTCTTCTCTCCTTAGTTAGCTATTACTCCAGAGTAGAGATATAGGTTTTTGTTGATCTGACACTGCCATCTGCACTAATGATAGTTCTCTTCTTGTAAGTTGCAGGCTTTCTTTCAGCTGACTGGTTGTTATAATGATGATTAATAGTTCCGTTCTCTCTAACCTCATCTCGATTCTCATCACCTTGGTTTTGGTCGTCGAATTCCACAGCATCATCATCTATATCATACTTGCGAGGGTTTACATCGAAGTGTCTAATGTTATCATGAGTGATCGTAGAGGCTCTGCCAAAGCCACCTCCAGTCATACTTTGAGCCACTTGAGCTGCTAATCTATTGTCTCCATTATCGTTAAGTTAGCCTATTCTTTCAATTACTCTCTGTTTGAAGCCATCAGAGTTCATTAGTGACTTTGAGACTCTTTAACTTCTCTTCGAGGCAAGTGATCTGTTGTCATCCTGGTTCTTTCTGGTTTGCTCAATTTCCTCATTGAATCTTTGTCTCTTGTTCTCAGAAGGAAGATATCCAGTATACTAAAAGTATCCAACTGGAAGGTATACATGCATGTTATCTACAACTCTCACGTGTTCTCCTTTAACCTGAGATCTTTTACTTCTGTTTGCTGAGTTGTTCCTTATCTATTTTGCTTTACTTCTTCCCACATAAGCACTGCTAGCAGCTGACAAGGTCTCCTCAGGATTCTAAATTGTTTGCATGTGGTTGGCTGTTCTTTGTAAAGTCTGATTAAAGTCAAAAGGTTTGCCTTATGTATTATTAAACCTTTGAGATACCTCAGGATCAGACTCTCTAATATTTGTCTTTCCACCTAATCAGTTTAAAAAGAAATAGTACCATATGAGTAGATTTATTTGTTCTTTACTGTGAAAGGATACTAGCCATATTAAGAGTTTTGCTTTCTGAGCTGAGATGATGTAGTTCCTGGTCTCTCGCTGTTCATAAAACTGTAGAAATTTCTTGTAAATAGACAAGGATACTTACCTTGTGAATGTATTCTGCAAAGAATTATTGGCACTGCCATTTGAATACTTGTTCACTACTTAATCATAAAATCTAAAGTATTGTGTGAGACTATAAATAGTATGTTTACTGCCTATGAGCTTTCAGTTCTCCTTGAACTCTTTGCTGCCAAGCCAAATGCTCTGATTGAAAACTCATTTTATTTTATGATTAATTTTTATTTCAAAATAAACTCTCCCTACACCATCAACATATATCTGTATCCTAGGGGTTTTGGGGTTTTGGGGTTTTGGGG